TGTAGAAAGAGACAAGTTTTTCTCAACCAGAAATTACATGTGGCACTTGTTAAAATTACAGATTCCTGTGTTCCATGTAGACCTATTGAATTTGGATCTTCTGGTGGGGGAGTTGTGTGTGTTAGAAATAAGCTGATGTATATATGTACTGAGGTTTGAGAACTAGTGCAGTAGGAGGAGAGTCAAGATATGGCAATATTATTGATAGGCGTTTCACAGACTCTGGCACGGTTAACTCTCCTGATACAAAAAAGGTCAAGTAATAGGTGATGTCAACTTGAACATTTCTTAGGTCAGAGGAGATAAGGAAAGACTTGGAGAATATATATTTTTTAATTATAAAAGGATTTATGTTCATTCAGAGAAGTACAAAACTCAACATACATAGACACAAAATGAAATACCCACGATTGTATCTACTCAGATAAAACCATTGTCTGTACCTGTCTAGTGTATGTCTTTTATATTACACGTATAGATACACACATGTACTTATGCAGATTTTTCACAAAATGGGATAATGCTAATATGACAGAACCTGTCTTATTTTACTTAATGATCTACTGTCTTCTCATATTGTAGATAGATGACATGTTATAAAATGTAAGTCCCACTTGTCATGGGTGACCACTGGCATCAGTTTAGTGTACTTCCTTCAAGTCATTTCCTATGGATGCACAAATACATATATGTGTCAGAGTTGCGTCTGTATATAATTTTTTCTTTTCTTTTTCTTTCTTTTTTTTTTTTTTGAGACAGAGTCTTGCTCTGTGGCCCAGGCTGGAGTACAGTGGCACAGTCTTGGCTCACTGCAACCTTCGCCTCCTGGGTTCAAGCAATTCTTGTGCCTCAGCCTCCCGAGTGGCAGGGATTATAGGCATATACCACCACACCCAGCTAATTTTTGTATTTTTAGTAGAGTTGGGGTTTTGCCATGTTGCCCAGGCTGGTCTTGAGCTCCTGGCCTCAAGTGATCTTCCTGCCTTGGCCTCCCAGAGTGCTGGGAGCCACTGTGCTAGGCCAGCTTTTTTTTTTTTAAATTACAAGTGAGAGCATACTATTTACACCATTCTGCAACTTGCTCTTTCACACCAGTATGGCTCACTCTAACTCATTATTTCCAATTGCTGAGTAATAGTCATGTGAATTTATTTGAGTTGATGAACTTGTTGGTTATTTTCAGTTTTTTCATTTTATTTCAGTGAGTCATCTTTCACGTATCTTAGTGAATTTCGTGCAAGTATATGTGTAGGATAAATTTTAAGAAGTGAAATAGCAGGACCAAAGGATATGTGTATTTATTTAAAGAGCCCTATATCTGTGTTCTCTGTATTCTTTATAATTGTTTCTCTCATTGCTTTCATTTGTTTACTTTTGCATTCTGTGATTTTTCTTAACATCTTCTTGGTTTTCCATTGTTTTTAGCAATGTCTGTTCTGCTTTTTTGTTATTTCTGAGGGAATTTCTTTTGTTTAGTGGTAGTTTTCTGTGTGTTTCCTGAGCTATAGTGTCTCACTTTGTAGTTGTTTGCCTTGTCTGCCTGTTTCTTGTCTCTCATCTGCTTTTTTCCAAGCCATGTAGGTTCAGTTTAATTTCTTTGACTATAAATAACACATTTAGTTATTCTTTGCTTAGGACTCTTGTTTCTTTATCCAGAATAGGGCACAAAGCAGTAAAGCATTAAATGAAAAGTTTAACATAATACAAATGTATTTTAGGGGAAAATACTGTATTTTTGTTTTTCGTGTGAAATCTGTCAAAAACTATGTGCTCTCTAATTATACAAGATGCTGAAGAAATCCTGCTCTAGCTGTTATCCTTTCTTCTCCCATCAATCTTAGCATCATTTCCAAAGATGATTTTTTTCTTTGCTTTACAAAAGTATGTCATATCATCTCATATTGGATTCACTTTTATGTTGCACAGATATTGTCTAATAGATTTCTTTCTTCCTGAGACAGTATTTTACTTACGTTTCAGTGAAAAAGTGGTGGATTAGGGCAGGAAGCTGTTTTCTTCCATGAGTGAAACAGAGTGTAAATAGAGAATTGAACTGTTTCTCTTTCATTAATTTCAAACAATGATTTGAATTCTGAGATAATGCGAGTTGCAGGGGCATGATTATATTTCTCTGGATTTTTTCTTTTTGTGTATATTATGTGTTGTTTGTATTTCTGTGTTTCTTCACAGATCCCATACTGAACTCCATTTGCTTTATTATTCAATCTTGAGTAAGGGTGTTTTATCTGAATCTGCCATGCAGGAAAATTGTGGGTAGAGTGAACTGGGGTAGCCAGCCCTGTCAAATCCCAGGTGTTGTTTCAGAGCGCTCCCCCCTCTCCCTGCCCCACTTTGAAACTGCTTCTTCTACCTTAGGTGCTTGTTGCACCTGAGGGTGAGCAGCTCATTTAGATAGTTGGTCCCATTTATTTGATGGTGAAGTCTCCTGGGAGTTAATGTTTATCTTTGCTCAGTTGACTTTAGTCAGCAGCTGCCAAGGTAATTGTTGTTTCCTGTCTCTTTTCCCTACTTCCCTTTCAGGCAAGGTTAGGAGACGACTCAGAGAAAGTGATGTAAGGCGTGCCATTCCTTTGTCCTGCAGAATTGTTTTTAATGGCTGCCGTGGCGTCATTGTGGGAGTGAACTTAAGATCGTTTAATTACTCTTTTGTTTCTGGCATCTAGATTGCTTCTTATTTCTATTGTGAGTTGTAATGAACCAGACTATAAAACCTTTATGCACCGTAGAGGAGTGGTGAAGAGCCCCAGTGCCGGAGTTAGAAAATTTGAACTTGAATCCCACCTCTGCCATTTATTTACTGTGTGGGCCTGGGCAAATTGATAAGCTTCCTCTTGCCTCAGTGTTTCTCATTGTCAAACTGGGGTCCTATTCTGTAGTCTTAAGGACGACACGAGATGTTTACATAAACCTCCTAGCAAAACAGAGCACTTGGTTCCTTATGAGCCCTTGTTAATAAGCTGGATGCTCTAGGATCATTATTTGCTTTGATGCATTCCCAAAAGCAGAAATGCTGTGTCAAAGAAGTATTTCCAGGGTTTTGACACGCATTACAAAACCTCCCTGCAGGTGCCACTTTACTTAGGAGCCGACTTTGCCAGTCTCTGGTTTCTTGGAACCCTTATGCTGGCTTCTGTGTTTTATGTTACATTTGAGAAAAGCCCATTTGCCTCTGAGGTTTTCTGGCAGTTGAGGAGAACACTGTAGAGAAGAAAGGAGAGTGAGGTGGACTGGGACAAATACAAGGATTATCTTTTTGCTTTGGTTACTATACATTTTTATACTTAAGCCTTGTTTTGATAATTTTTGGTCCACTTGATCATTTTGGTCCATAAGTAAATATTTAAGTCTTCTTTTGCCTGTGTTTTGTAGTTTTCAAAGTACCTCCCGTAAATTATTTTTCATTTGGTTCTCACAGTAAACTTGTCTGGTAAATATGGTATCGTAGACATTGAGGAAAAAGTTCCAGAGACATTGCAGTTGACCCGGAGGAAACAAAGCTAATAAGAGGCAGCACAGGAACACGCATGGTCCTCTTCTGGATTCTGGGGTATCACCCTTTCTTTACCTTGTGCTGATGGGAACGCCTTGTGTTAGGCTGAGCCTTTCTCATGATGCTGCTTCAATTTCAGTAATCAGATTTTATTGTTATAGAGACCACTAGGGCTTAATCTTAGTTTATAATAGAATACCATTGTATTTCTTTGTCTAAAAATTAAAATGTAGAAATCTCTAAAGTGTGCGTGTTTGTGCACTCACGCTGTAGTCTTATCTGCATAGCAAAAGAATATGCAATTTGAACTTGACTAAAATTTCGTTTTTTAAAAGTTCTGACGGTGGGGGCTACCTTGAAGTTTGTTTCTGCATATAAATCTCCTCATAGTATAAATTTATGTTAACCAAATGTCTTGGAAACCTCAGCTAAGCAATTCATTTTTTTGTTTTTTATTTTTTTCAGAAACTGGGTCTTACTGTATTGCTTAGACTGGCCTTGAATTCCTGGGCTCAAGCAGTCCTCCCACATCAGCCTCTCACGCGCCACTGTGCCTGGTTTCAACTGGGCAATTCTTGATAAGACCAGATTGATTTTCTGAAAATACTTGAAACTTAGAATTTCTTAAATCTTTATTTATTTGATTTTTTTAAAAAAGTATTTAGTTCTCCACTTCTACTCTTTACTTTGAAGGATTTGAATGCAGGAGGGCCATATCTATCTTGTTTCTCTTGTGCATCTAGCACAAGTAGATTTTAAATGAATGGACAAGATACTATGGTCAAATGTAGATATTGAGTGGTTAATGCCTGGAGTGGATTTAAGTCCTCAGAGATATTAAAGCATCTTTAAAAAGTTGAGACTTCATTTTGAGTGTTTCACGTGGCAGGTGTGTGTCAAGTACTATTAATCATTTGACTTGGATGTCTGAAATTTTGTCAGTGGTATGCTCTTAAGCTTCCTATGTAAAGAATTTGTTTATCTAATTTGATAATGTGCAGATTTCTCATTTGTGTATTATCAAACCTTTCTCCTCAAGAAATAAGAATGTCAAGAGCATTCACTGTTGCCGTAGAGATGAGTGACTTTTGGGAGGCAGGGAAGTTTTAATTCTTTTTGTAATATTCTCTACTTAAGCTTTTATTTTTAAAATATTTTTTTAAAAACTTGTTTTTCAAATCTTTCTCTTTGATGCTTTGCAATAAAAAAGGGCAGTGAGATTGAATAGATAAGGGTGTAGACTATTTTATAATTTTGAACCAAAATAAAAGATTTTTAAAATAATTTTCTATCTCATTAAGATACCAATATTCATATATTTTTCAAATATTCTTGCTGGATTACAAGGAAATTGGGGGGGCTGAGATTATTTTTGTTTTCATTTTTATTTTTCTTTTAATGACTGAGTTAAAAGAAATTAATTTAGCACAAAATACTTGCCTGAATTGTTAAGATCAATAAATAAGTTGTTTCAATATGTTTTCTTTAGGTGTTTTGTGGATTAACTCTTCATTGATTATATACGACAAAAAATAGTTATGGCGACTTTCAGAAACAATCACATGAAGACGAAAGCATCTATCAGAAAAGTAAGTTCACTCTATTAGGTTTCTTTTAGGGAAAGTTTTAATTAAAATGTTGATTTTTTTTGTGTTCTACAGCTATGATGTTTTGTTTAAATGGATCTTACTATTTGAATTAGTAACATTCAACTACTGCAAAGATTGGCATGTATGAAAATAGCGATACAAAATCATGATTACAGTGATTTTATTTCCTAAAGATCACAGTGCTTTCTCCCCATTTTTTCTCTACACACAGATACCCATCTGCTTTTTTGCAATATAGGCTGTCAGGTGTAAGCTTTCTTATATACCTTTAGCTTTACCATTCATTCATTCATTCATTCATTCAGCAAATATACACTTGAGTTATTTTATGCCAGGCCATATGTTAGATAGCAGTAGCAAGCAAACAAAATATGATTCTTAATCCTTTCTTCCTTCTAGTCTAAGGAGGAACCCCCTCGCTTCCTCTCTTAAAACAATTTGGTTAACCTTCCATTTCTTGACATTTTTGTCTTTGCTAAAACTTTGGAGGCACTACCCATAAACAAAGAAGGAGGAATGGAGCCTGGAGGATAATTAACAGTCTTTGTTATTTCTTTTTCTGGACTTCATCTTCTGCATTATATGACACCATTGACCAATCCTTACACATTAAGACAATATTTGACTTTCATTATAGTGTTTTTCTTGCTTTCCTTCTCTTTTATGGTAACTCTTGTCTCTTTTGCTGATCTTTCCAAATTCTAATTATCAGTGTTGCTATGAGTTTCTGGGCCTATCATTCATTTATGTAGAGAGCTAAAAGATGTATAGGTTTGACTACTAACTCTGAGAGGATGGCTTCTAAATCTACAGGATGCCTGCAAAATAGAAAGTAAACTTATCCTTAAACAGTATGTTAATTACTTTTTTTTTTTGAGTTGGAGTCTCACTCTGTTGCCCAGGCTGGAGTGCAGTGGCGCGATCTTGGCTTACTGCAACCTCCATCTCCTGGGATCAAGCGATTCTTCTGCCTCAGCCTCCCAACTAGCTGGGACTACAGGTGCCCACCACCATGCCTGGCTAATTTTTTTTGTAGTTTTAGTAGAGACGGGGTTTCACCATATTGGCTAGGGTGGTCTTGAACTCCTGACTTCATGATCCACCCACCTCGGCCTCCCAAAGTGCTGGGATTACAGGTGTGAACCACCACGCATGGCCTTTTTTTTTTTTCTTTTTTTTGAGACGGAGTCTCGCTCTGTTGCCCAGGCTGGAGTGCAGTGGCACGGTCTCGGCCAACTGCAAGCTCCGACTCCTGGGTTCACGCCATTCTCCTGCCTCAGTCTCCCTAGTTGCTGGGACTACAGGCACCTTCCACCACGCCCGGCTACTTTTTTTGTATTTGTAGTAGAGACAGGGTTTCACCGTGATAGCCAGAATGGTCTCGATCTCCTGACCTCGTGACCTGCCTGCCTCAGCCTCCCAAAGTGCTGGGATTACAGGCGTGAGCCATCGCATCCGGCCAATTACATTTTTAAGTAATATGCTCCATATGTTTTGAGGTAAATTACCTTTACATTTAATAGGTCCACTTTTTCATTTGAAAAAAGTACAATAAAAACTATTTTCTGTTTTTACTCTTTGTAAACTATAGTGTATTTATTATATTTTTTTCAGATTAGCAGCTAGACCCATAGCTTTAAATTGATTATACTGCTGGCTTTAAACTAATAATTATAACTAATAATATATACAAAATGTAATAGCAAACTGATACCATGGTCTTCAAGAATGATAGTACCTGACTTGAATATTTATCCCATACATTGCCAGAGATTCAGGGATTAGGCAGCAACTGAAATTTCATATTATTACCAGGTTAGTGTCTTTTGTTATTCAGTGTATTGTCCATATTAGGCACTCAGTAAAGATTTAATTTGAGTTCAACTTGAATTATTGGAATCCCTTTTAGATAAAAGTGTGTGAATCCAAATATTGCATACTGTTTATGTAAACAGTTATGCACACACATACACCACCTTCTACATCTTGATTCATCTTAATGACAGACACTTCCCTATTGGCTACTGTGGAAATTGAAAGATGTACTTGAATTCTTTAGATTTCACTTTAATTTGCATTAAATATAGAGATACATTAAATATTTATTGGGAAAGTTAAAAGCATAATACACACACAAACCCACATACCTACCACCCATATCCAACAGTAGTTAATAATTTGTCTTTTTGCTTTGTGTTTGCTTTGTGTCTGTGTATGTGTGTATTTACTTTTAGGCAGAACCATTTGCAAGTTATGATCGTAATGTTTCTTCACCCTGAACACTTCAGGCATGCTTCTCCCAGGAATAACAACATCTTCCCACATAGCACTAATACCATGAACACATCAAGAAAAATAAATTCCCGTGTATCTAATACCCAGCCATACTCAGATTTCCTGTGTTACACCCAAAATATCTTTTATAGTTCTCTCCGCCCCTGTTTGGATCCAGTCTAGCCTCTTAGTCTCTTTGTCTCTTAGACTCTTTGTCTCTTTGTCTCTTAGTCTCTTAGCATTTCTTTTGGTTTGAAAGAATTTTTCCTTTTTTTTTTTTCCTCGTTATATTCAATTCTGACATCTTGAATAGGCCACGCTAGTTTTCTTGTACCATGTTCCACATCTGGATTTGTCTGGTTGTTTTCTCATATTACTATTTAATTTGATCCCCTCCGTTGTATATTTCGTGTAAAGTAGAAGTTACGTTTAAAGGTTTAATTGGAGCAGATTAAGCATTTATGGCAAGAATACTTTATAGGGTAATGTGAGGACAGAATTTCAGGTTTTCCCATGATCAGTGATGCTGTGATTGATCAGTTGACTAAGGTGATAACCCTGCTAGAATTGTTCATTGTAAAAGTACATTTTCTGTTTTTTGGTTAGCAGATAATCTATGATGATACTTGGCTGTGTGCAAATATCCTTTTTTTCCCAACAAATATTGAGCTAATGTTTTTGGCATCCCTTGATTACCCTTTCCTGAATTCATTATTTCATGGGAGTTGCAAAATGGTGATTTTCCTAATTCTACCATTCCTTTCATGTTGATTAGCTGGTATTCTTAAAGAAAAGCTTCCCTCATTCACCTTAGATGAACTGTGTAATATCTCCTATAGAGGCAGGTCAAATGTCCTTTAAATACCAGTTTTCAGATTAATGTCAGGGCATCGTAGTTAGCACCAATGGTAGCAAGTGAGTTTATTTCCCCACATTCATTCACTAATTTGTTTGTAATGCTCTGAACTCATGGATTTTTGCAGTTCTATATTTTATAACCTTTTATTTCTTTATAGTCATTCATTCATTCATCTATTTAAGTTGCTCAAATTGTTCCAAAATTGATACCTGAGAGCCCCTCCGAGTAGGTGCCTATATCCTTTTGTCTCAGGCTCATAACTTTGATTGCTTTTTCACTTTCTGGTCATATCCTTTTGGTACAGGACGACCCAATTTCACCTACTTTACCTTCCTCAGACCTGAAATTGGCTTTTTTTTTTTTTTTAAAGAACCCTGAATAGTACTTAAAAACCAAGATCTGGATACTAAGAGTTGCCTTTGCACTTACAGTGTCATGAGTTTATATTGACAGTTCACGTTCAGATTTCACATATTTTTTCCTGTTTTGATTTCCTGTTTCTAAATTAGTGTGAAAATCCCCATTCGTTAAGGAAAACAAAATTATTTAAAATATTGAATATTTTCAAGCCCACAGAAAAGTTGGTAAAAAAAAAACCTAGTAGAATGAACACCTCATACATTCTTCACTCAGATTCACCCTCGGTTAACATTTTGCCATACCCTCTCTCTCTCTGTGTACACACACACACACACACACACACACACACACACTCTCTTTCCCTTTTGCAATTGTATGAGAGTAGACTGCAGACATTATTTTACTTCATTTCTTCGAAAATCGTTAATTCAGTAACATCATCTAGCATGCATTCCAAACACAGATTTCCCTGTGTCTCAGGTAGCCTTGTAATTTTCTCCTTGCTTCTCTTCTAGGATGCAGTCAAGGTTCACACACTGTATTTGGGTATTGTTTTGGGTTTTCCCCATTCTAGACCATTCCAATAGTCTAAATTCTTTTTTCATGCAGCAAATCTTCCGAAGAGTCTAGGCCAGTTGTGTTGTAGAATATTTTCATATTTGGGTTCATATGTTTTTCCCCGTAATTAGGTTCAACTGAACATCTGAAAGGTGATGATGTGTTCATTCCTGTCTATCAGATCTGAAGTCCATATTGTTGATGTTAGGCTTCACTAGGTGGTTAAGATAATAACCACCAGATATCTCCAATATAAATGCACATAATCTCCTTATGATTAATACACTTAATAAACTATAAGGTGATCCTCTGAGACAGTATGAGTGTCCTTTTCCCCAGCTTTTAATACAGTAGATTGAGGATACGTGGATAATCCTTTCCTAAATCGGTAATTGCATTGGGAATTTACAAATGGGGTTTTCTAAATTTGTCATTCTGTCTATACTAGCCAGCATTTTTAGGTAAAGAAGAGCTCCTCTGACGTTTTCTCTTTTAATAGACTCACAGATTTTTTTTAATACAGTAGTCATAATTCATTACCATTTTCATTCTTCTTGATTTGAAGTTGTCCCATATTTGGCCGGTGGGAATTCTTTCAAGCTGGCTTCTGTATTTTTTTGAAATGATCCTGTTAGTCTTTGAGCATTTCCTTGCATTCTGGCTCAGATAGATGTTTCAGGCTCGCTTCATACGTTCTCAGCCTCAGACCTGGAACCAGCTATTTCCCCAGGGAACTCTAGTTCTTTTTATTGGTGATAGATATTTAGAGACCAAAAGCTGGGTGCTGAGTATGCTCATTGCTACTGAAGGTCATTGTTTGTAAGACTTTTCAATGGAAAAAGGTAGTACGTGTATTCAAAGAATTATGAATTTGTAATGACAGGTCAGATTCAAATGTAACAGCACAGCTTTTTATCATAAATTTTTTGAGTACATATTTTTACCTCTTCTCTTAGACTAAAGATTTCCATTTATTTTAATTTGTTAAGATTAGCAGCTGTTTCAGTTCATCTAGTGTCAGGTTCTGAAATATGGGGAAACAAAGTGAGTGAAACACAGTCTGTGACTTCCATAATTTGTTTTAATGGGTAGGAAACAATCTGAGTATAGTAATTATAATATGCTTTTTGTTTTTGAGACGTAATCTCTGTCGCCCAGGCTGGAATGCAGTGGCGCAATCTCACCTAACTGCAACCTCTGCCTCCCAGGTTCAAGCAATTCTCCTGCCTCAGCCTTCCGAGTAGCTGGGTTTACAAGCACGTGGCACCATGCCAGGCTAATTTGTGTATTTTTAGAAGAGACCGGCTTTCACTATGTTGGCCAGGCTGGTCTCGAACTCCTGACCTCAAGTGATCCACCCGCGTCAGCTTCCCAAAGTGCTGGGATTACACACATGAGCCACTGTGCCCGGCCAATAATTATAATATGTTTTGGTGTGGATTAAATGATTTTAATGCACAACATACAGCAGGAACTTTGAGAGAGATTTATTAGGGCTGAACAATGGGAAAATCTTCACAGGTCTTGGGATGGGTAGGATTTCTACATGGGACGACTGGGAAGTAAGGACATTTCTGATAGAAGAGCAGATTGACAAGTCAGTGGAAGGGGGCATAAGGTAGAAGGAAAGGAAATAAGTGTCCTATTTATGCCTGACTATAGTACTCATTATTTTCTTCATATAGCTTTTTCCTCCCTCTGTTCCTGTACTTGTGACAAACATCTCACCCTGAAATCTGGAATCGCTTCTCATTTTCATCAGACAGCTTCCTTAAGATCCATGGAAAACCTTATTTTGTTGTTATTATCTTATTTTTCTGTCTCCAACTTTGTTAATGGAGTAATCACTGTTGTTAAGGGAGTAATCACTGTTGTGCACCTTACTACAGCTCCCACATCATCTCATTCAATCATATGAATTGTTGCTTCTGTTCTACCAGTGACTTGGAAATCAGATATGCAGTTTGTTAAGTTTTAGTGTAAGGTAAGAGTAAGTGAACCTGGTGTGAGATTCACGTGATCTTCTAGTGAGTTGAATGCCCAGGCTCTAGTATATGTATGTGTTTTGGGCATGTGAAACTCTGCCTTTTCAGCTGAATGGAGCTTCTCAGTGGAATTGAGTTCTGCATCCAGTATCAAAAGGTGCCAGTGAATATTAGTTAGAGAATGAGTGACTATCTAAAACACCTCCAGGATCTCTTACCCTTGTCTTAGAATTAAATGAATTTAAAGTATCTTTGTTTTCTTTCCCCTGCAGAGCTTCAGTGAAGATGTGTTCCAGTCTGTAAAGTCTTTATTGCAGAGTGAGAAGGAACTATGCAGTGTAACAGCAGAGGACTGTTTACAGCAGGATGAACATGCCAATTTAACTGAGGTTTAACATATTACTTTCTAAACCCTTTCCTAATAATGCACAGCGTATTTTCATGCATCTCTGTAGGACTCTAATCTATTTTTAAAATGCCTAAAATCTCTATATGTTGTTACATGTATCAGAAGTACCTGTTATATGGGTGGGAAAGGGGGAAAAAAAAGAAGTACCTGTTTTAAATACTGGCTAAAATAATTTTATTAATTGACAATGAACTCAAACAAATGAGCACATTTAATTCTATGCAAAGTACTAATTGGATGTATAACATTGTATTAGATGATGCCTACTATATTCAGTAACTGGTACTTTAATATGAATTTTTCTACTCTGAAATATAAAACAAATGCATGTTTCTTATGTTGATTTTTTGGGGTATTTTCTTGACTGTTTAAATTCAGTGCTTTGATTAAAAATGAAAAAGTAGTGATAAATTTATATTTGAAATTAAGACATTTACTCTATTACTTGAGGATAAGATAATATACCTTGCTCGCCTATTTCTCTGCTACAGTGTTTCAAATCTTTGTTTGAATTTATTGCTATAAAAGGAGTAAGATCCTTTTCTATAATATATCCATACTTCATCATCACATTTGTTACCAAATATGAGATATATTAGGTCATTGCAGCTCACAACTGATGAATATTTGAAGTTAAAACATTTTATTTTGAAATGAGGGTTCTAATAAAATCGTGGTTACGGATAGATGCTCCTGGACTTATGATCGAGTTACATCCTGATAAATCCACTGTTCATCAAAAATATTCTAAGTTGAAAATGCATTTAAGACCTTATAAATCCATTGTAAAGCTGAAAAATCACAAGTCCAACCATCATAAGTTGGGGACTGTATGTATTCTGTTTTAGGTGGATGATTTTCTTTAATACTCCTTGAGAAATTCTCTATTTGATGTCATTTCATAGGAAGATGAGCATATGTTTTAGGCCTGTAGTGTTCTGCTGCCTCATCCTCTTCTTTTTGTGTCAGCTTAATTTCACTATTACTTTCTTTGCTAACCTTTTTCATTTTACTTTAGCAAAACCAAGCCACTCTTAATCTAGTTGGTTGTTTCCAAATAAACAGTGACAGAACATAACAGGCCTAATACGTACGCTCATCTTCTATGAAATGATGTCCTGTGTCCTGCTCTCCAGCAGTTTTCTAGCTCAGATAGGTCGCATTGCTTTTCCAAGCCCACATTCCCTGGTGAGGCCTTTCTAGACCAATGGGAAATATAAAACTCCCCTGGCATCTTCAAAACCCTATGCCAGCTTATTTTCTGTTTTGTATTCAGTAAAGGAAACTTGAAAGAATAGGTGGAATTTCTGCCCACTTTAGGGTGTGCAAATCTCTGAGTATCTTTTCAAATAAAGGAAGGCAATTAGTTACTTGCCTATCTGTTATTGAGTGCCTGTAATGTGCTAGGTACTTTCCTCTACATTATCTAGTTAACCTCACAACTATGAGAGGGAAGTTATATTGCCTTACGTTTTATAGATAAGGAGGCAGGCTCCTAGAGGTTAACAGTTTACCTAGATGCCTAGAAATTAACCGTAACTCTTACGTGAAGTAAGAGCCATAATTAATCAGAATAAAGATCTCAGAGTAATTTAAGATTCTGACTTGCTTCTGAATCATCAGAAATAGATCGAAAATATATTCAGTGTTGCTATGTATTCTGACTATACTATTTTCCCCACATTCTTCAGAATTGATTATTAATATTGCTGTCATTTAAGTATTGTATATTTTTTAGCCACAGCGGTTGCTTAGTGGACAGTGTACTACACTGTCTTCAAATGGAAAAAATGTCTTACTGTAATGCCAAATACATAGAGAGTATAAATGTAAAAAATAACACTTTTTCAGGTTCTAAAAGTAGTATGTTTTTTTTCTTTTCTTTTTTTGAGACATAGTCTTGCTCTGTTGCCCAGGTTGGAGTGCAGTGGCGTGATTTTGGCTCATTGCAACCTCCACCTCCAGGGTTCAAGTGATTCTCCTGTCTCAGCCTCCCGATTAGCTGGGACTATAGGCATGCACCACCATGCCTGGCTAATTTTTTGTATTTTTAGTGGAGACGAGGTTTCACCATGTTGGCCAGGCTGGTCTTGAACTCCTGACCTCAAGTGATCCATCCACCTCAGCCTCCCAAAGTGCTGGGATTACAGACATGAGCCACTGCACCTGGCCAGTATGTATTCTTTGTAGAAAAATAAGAAATACTCAAATTAGAACAAAGAAAATGACTATCATTGATCTTACGACTTAGGGAAAAAATGCAGAGGGGAAAAGAGTGGGAAAAAAATAGCTCCATCATCCAGAGTTAATCACTGCTTATACTCTGGTGTATTACCTTCCAGTATTATTTTCCATGCATATGTTTTTAAAAATAAGGTTGAAATTGTATGCGTGCTGTAAGTAATTTTTCTGTGACTTGTCCTTTTTAAATAATGTGACAGTTCTTCATGCATCCGATATTCTTTAGAAAGTCTGTTTATATAAACTTCTGCAGAGTAATCTCTATGTCAGGATATTGAAGGAAATAAATGGTGGTATCATAGAGTCAATGAAGAAGTAGCCTCAGGGGTCTGCCCAGGGAAGGCCTCTCTGAGGAGGTGACACTTGCATCGAAAGTTGAAGAATGAGGAGAAGCCAGGCATGTAATCATCCAAGGAAGAGAGATCCAGATTGAGGGCACAACCATGAAGTCCTTAGGAATGTACAGGGCGTGTTCCAGACCTAGAAAGGGGGCTCGTGTGTAAGTGAAAATGGTAGAAGGTTGAAGGCATTGGGTAACCCCACTTAGGATTTTGCCCCGGGAAGCATGGAAGAGTTTGGATAGGGAAGTGGCTTGGTAATAGGACCAGGTAGGAGAGGATTGTACTAATGTAGGTGAGACGGGTGGCCAGGGAATGGAGAGAAGTGGATGTATTTGAAATATGTTTTGGGGTTAGAATTGATTGAACTTGCTACTGAGGGAGATACGGATGAGGTTCAAGAACTGCATTTTGGAGCCCAATCTTTGGTGAAAAATATTTTTGGGTCATCTTTGAAAAAAATCCTTTTCAAGGCAGACAACATTTTAATGCTTTGTCGGTTTTTTCCTGTTTCTCAGCTCTGTCACCAGCCTGAAAGATTTAAAAATTCAAATTAATGGAGGTTTATTTGTTCTTTACTCAGGTCACATTTCTGGGTTTTAATGAAGAGACAGATGCCACTCATGTACAGGTATGGTCAATTTTAGCATTTTTACTGAGTATTCTTGTCATGGAAATCAGCTTTAGGTTTGACCACAAAAGTCATTTATCTGAGAAGGTTGCAAACTGCAGGTTGACTTCTCCATTCTGTGTATAATATAGAATGTATGACTTGTTTGTTTATTTTGATGGCTTTCATAATTTTGACCTTAATAGTAAACATTTTCATTAAGATTGAGTTAAATTTAAAAGGTAAGGTTTGTAAAAATTAGCCAATGCAAAACTGTAGCCTGTTTGATTTAGGCAGTTATTAACAGAGGGACTGATGTTCGAGATTGGGATCAGCAAAGGAAAGCTTCACAGTTACATAAACAGTGGTTGAAGTTCCTGTAGATGTGATAGGCATGCTTTTCTTTTTCCCTCATGCTGCTGCTTAAAAATTTGTGATTTCTACGTATTTCCTTTTGTGGCAATAAAGTATCTCCTCCTAGAGGAGGAAACAACATTTTTTAGTTCTTTCTGAATAATGCATATCAGGTGATTATGGACAAAAACTCTGCTGTATGTTTTGATTGTGGCCTTGCTTGAAGGAAATAATTTGGACAGAAGGAACAAGAGAGGATATATTCCTGAGAACATATATAGCTGGAAAGAGAAATATTCCAAGATATTTCTTTAATGTTCTTCTCCTCCTGTAAGAGTTATTGATATAACCATGTTTATAAAGGAAAGTACTTTACAAAGGGTCAAAGACTTTAATAATTCTTTAACTGGGTAAAATATTTATGTATAAAGGGCAAACAGGAAGAAGAAATAAAAGCAATTTTCTTTTCCTTTAATCTTCATTAAAATTATCAGTTAAAGTCTAATACAATACCTTGGAGAGGAAAGACAGAAAAACGGATTATATTGTACAGGGTTAAAAACAAGTTTTTAGGATGTACATTCTCTAGCCAAAAATTTTGTATGAAAAAAATTTCATAAAGTTAAGTAAGACCTATACGTTGACATTACTAAAAACTATTAAATGCTTAATTGCCATGGATGTGTTAGGTACCCTGTAAAATTTTTTATAGCTTGATATCAATACATTTTAAAGGCTACAGGGATAGCCAGTATTTAATAATTTTAGTATGTTTTGGCCGGGTGCGATGGCTCACACCTGTAATCCCAGCACTTTGGGAGGCTGAGGTGGGCGGATCACGAGGTCAGGAGATCGAGACCATCCTGGTTAACACAGTGAAACCCCATCTCTACTAAAAATACAAAAAATTAGCCGGGTGTGGTGGCAGGCGCCCGTAGTCCCAGCTAGTTGGGAGGCTGAGGCAGGAGAATGGCGTGAACCTGGGAGGTGGAGGTTGCAGTGAGCCGAGATCACGCCACTGCACTCCAGCCGGGGAAACAGAGCGAGACTCTGTCTCAAAAAAAAAATAATAATAATAATTTTAGTATATTTTATTTTTGAATTTTTGAAAAATTATCTGTGAATGATAAACTATAGATGTTAACTGTTACGAACCAGGAAATTTCCTAGCCAGTAGACCTTACAATTTTTGGATAGGGTCCACCTTATAGGAACCTTAACAACTGTACAGTGTTACTTATTGTTATTATTTTAAATTAGGATTTAGCTGCAGTTTCTTTGGAACTTCCAGATCTTCTGAATTCACTCCACTTCTGCAGTCTAAATGAAAATGAAATTATTTGTATGAAGAATATAAATAAACCATCAGATATAAGCAGTGATCCTCTAAATCAGGTAACTTTTGTAGATAATTTCTAATGAGATTTTTAGGGCAAATTTTACTATATTTGATAAAGATGATTAAACTTTTAAATGCTTGGATGACATTTATTTTTTTTAAATGGTGTCTCCAGAAAATATGATTCATAAGAAATCTAACTCATGAAGCATTGACATCCCTGAAGGATACAGTAATTTTGATCATATCTTATATTTTGCAGCTGTGAAGTTCCGTAGATGGTATGCAAGTACATGCTATTTTTTTCTGAAAATTTATTATTTTCGGATTTCTTGAATTACTTATACCTTTGTATAAGCTATAGTGACTTTTCCCTATTATGGCCAATTTCAAATTTATACACATGTTATGCTATATGTTTTAGAGAATGTACTTAAGTTCATTTTCTGGTTTAAAAAATTCCATGTAAAGTGGACATCTGATGTGTTCTTTATAAATAAAAATGTTACCATTTCTTATAGGTGGTTAGTTTTATAATATTCAGCATTTAGTTCTTTACCAAGTATGATTTTGTTGATAATGCATCAGAGAAAATGCTTTGCATTCTAAGAGGTAAGACATATACAATTGAACCAGAAAGTTTAAAATTTGAATTACTTACTTTCGTTTTAAAAAAACTGCTGTGTTCTTTATAAGGTCTGCCAATAAAACTAGAACTGCTTGCCTCATTTCCTTAATTATGTTCTTTATTCATATTTACTTTGCTTTATTGGCTAGGTTATAAGAGGTGATAAGCTATTATATTTAATTTCTAGTTTTTTTGAATAAATCATTTCATCAGTATTTACTTGAAAAAATAGTATGGGGGGAAAAGCTGGTGACTTGTATTTTTAAAGCTATAAACATTGTAAGTTGTAATACTAGGGAAATTTAAATAAAAGGAGTGGACTTTTAAAAATTGTGATAGGAAGGAAGATGGCATCATACTTGAAACTACAGGAAAATGGGATTGAAAATAAAAGAAAATAGAACTTGGTTGCTGCCCCCAAACAGTTTATAATACAGTTAGTGAGACAGGTGAATGATTCAGGAGAATCACAGGAATGTACAGTAATACAGGAAAACAGAATTGCTCAAAGGAATGGATAGATAGTAAGTTTTATAACATTTCAGGAGACTAGGTAGAATTTGAATACCTGGATAAAAGAAGATGGGAGAAAAGACTGGAAAGTGAAAAATGTAGAAAAAGAATAAAGAAATAAACATAAAACCAAGGAGCTTTTCAGGATGCATGAATTTCTTGTTTGTTTTTCCTCTGAGATTGTCTTATATCTATGCTTTACTTCATGATGTTTTGTATTTGAAATTAAAATTGTTTTTATTATCTTTTATCTTTCCCAAGAGTCATCCTTCTGGAATGCTTTGTGTCATGAGAGTGTCACCTACATCACCAAAACTTAGGATTGATTTTATCTTTAGTCTCCTAAGTAAATATGCTACTGGTATAAGGTACACCTTGGACACATTCTTGCATCAGAAGCACCCACTTGAGACCACTGATGAAGATGATGATGATACTAACCAGTCTGTGTCATCCATAGAGGATGACTTTGTCACTGCTTTTGAGCACTTAGAAGAGGAAGAGACTTCAAAGCCGTATAATGATGGTTTGTTTTTCATTAGACTTTTTCCTAAAATAGGGAATTAAAATTTTTCAGTTCTGAAAATTTTAAGGCAGACTTGTTCAATTGAAATTTATGTTGAGATTTGATTCAATTTAAACCTTTTAACTTTTTTTCTGATTACCTGAGGAAATTCCATATGATTTTTAAGTTCACTGTAATCTGGTTTTCAGTTTTGCTTATTTCAGGTTTTATTTAGTTGGTGCTGTTCACGCAGTGATTACATCAAGTGTCTGAAACATTCCTAGGTTCAAATTTTGGAAGAGTTAGCTGGGAGAGTCTCCACAGTAATTTTTCTAACATGCGTGACAGCATGCAGAACATCCCATAGACCAGGTATCCCTAGACATAGAGTAAACTGAAATTATTTTATAAAAAGTATATTTACTTTCAAATGTTACTTGGGTGAATCTTTCTGTTAAACAACATAGTTTAGAAACACATAAGTATTATATGTTTAAAGTCAGTTTATTCCATGGATATAAAATTAATTTCCAAAAAGTTTTTTCAAGAATAATGGCACCATTTCATTCTTTTCCTATAGGAATGAACATTACTGCGCTAAGGAACCAGTGTGATGCTGCTTCCCAGACAGTTACTGGTCATCATTTAGAAACCCATGATTTAAAGATTCTCATTAGCACTGGACAGCAGAAGTCATTGGCTAAACCCTCAACTTCCTCAGTGAATGTCCTGGGACCTAAAGAACTACCTTCTGTGAAAACTTCAGTCACAACATCCATTTCAGAGCCTTGGACCCAAAGGAGTTTCTATAGGTCATCTAATGCTTCAGATAAAGATAGTGATTTACAGAAAACATTTTTTTCGTCTTCTCCTGCCTACTCATCTGAATCAGAATGTTCAAGTCCAAGTCCTGTTATTTTCTTGGATGAAGAGGGATATCAAAAAAGCTTAAAAGCAAAACTTGAGCTGCCTAAAATTCCTGTGATGAAAGATGACATAGAGGATTCAGACTCAGAAGTAAGTGAATTTTTTGATAGTTTTGATCAGTTTGATGAACTAGAACAAACTTTAGAGACTTACCTGTTTAATAAAGATCCTGTCATAGGGAAGTCATCACAGAAGAAAGGGCACAAACATGGAAAATCATGTATGAATCCTCAAAAATTCAAGTTTGATCGTCCAGCTCTCCCAGCTAATGTTAGAAAGCCAACTCCTCGTAAACCGGAATCTCCATATGGTAACCTGTGTGATGCTCCGGATTCTCCTCGCCCAGTGAAGGCCTCGGGGGAAGATAGTGGTTTATTTAGTCCTATTCGATCCTCTGCTTTTAGTCCTCTTGGAGGCTGTACTCCAGCTGAATGTTTTTGCCAAACAGATATTGGTGGAGATAGGATTCACGAAAATCTTGATTCTATTTATTACACCTATGAAGATTATGCAAATAACGTATCATGTGAAGTACTAGGCTCAGTTCTTCGTACTCAGCACACTAATGCCCTATCAAATATTATCAGTATTAAACATGGAGAAAATAAAACTGTAACTTTTAAGCATGGAAACCTTGATCAAAAAAATAAATCTAAAAATAAATCCTTAATGATTAAAGATAGCATTCAAAAATTTGCAGCAGATCTTGTGGAAAAAAGTTTTGGCAGTGCGTTTAAAGACTTACAGAAAGGAGTCTCTTCATGTACCAATGCGTTGTGCCACTTAGCCATCACATTGACATCATCTGTTTTTCAGATGGCATTTAATGAGCTGAGAAGGCAGCGTGCATTTTCACTAAAAGAACGTGCCATTAGTGGCCTGGCTAACTTTTTGGTGAGTGAAGCTTTATCAAATGCCTTAAAAGATTTACAGTATGTAAAGAAGCAGATATTCACAAACACAGTTGCTAGGTTTGCTGCAGATCTTGCTGAAGAGCTTGTTTTTGAAGGCATCATGGAAGTGTGTCAGTTTTCGTATCCTCAAACGCCTGCATCTCCACGGTGTGGGTCATTTGACTTTGAAGACAAAGTAGTGAAGTCATATGCAAAAGATTTGTCTGAATCTGTAATACAGGAAGCGTTCATTGAGCTATCACAAGTTGATGTGACCTTTACAACAAAGGCAGCAGTTAGTGTCTCTACGGATAATATCAAGTATGTGAGTGCAGAAAGTGTAGTGCCATCAACACAGGCTGTCACGTTTTCCCCTTCTTTTCACAATCAAGCAATTATGGTGACAAAACCAGTGCAGGAATATAAAAAGGAATACACAGTGCAGCAGGCCTTGTTTTGTACTTCTGGAATTGTTACTTCTATACCAGTGCCCTTGGCAGGAAGTGCCCTTCTCCCATATCATATTTCATCTACTGCATGTCAGGCAAAGGCTCATCTGTCATCTGATGATAGTAATTCAAGTGGTGATTCTACCCAAGTGCATATTGCCACAAAAAACAGAGAAGAAAAAGCAGCTTGTCTCAGAAATATTTGTTTACCTTCAGAACACAATCCAGGTAACCAGAATGATTTTAAACCAACTAATGATCTTGAAATGCAGAGTTCCTCAAAATTACCAAGTGATCCTGCAATTATTAGCAACTTTTCTGCATCAATGGTGCATACGATAGTAAATGAAACTCTAGAGTCAATGACATCATTGGAAGTTACAAAAATGGTTGATGAACGTACAGATTATTTAACTAAATCAATAAAGGGGAAAACCCCTCCATTTTCCCACTGTGGTCAGGCAGTGCTGCAATGCAGTGAAGCTAGTAGCAATAAGGACATGTTTGCTGACCAGTTATCTAAATCTGTTATTAAACATTCCATAGATAAGAGCAAATCAATGATCCCAAATATAGATAAAAATGCAGTATACAAGGAAAGCTTGCCTGTTTCTGGAGAAGAATCACAGTTGACACCAGAAAAGTCTCCCAAATTTCCTGGCTCTCACAATCACTTAACTCACTGCTCACTTTCAGCTGGAAAGGATTGTGTTCCAGAATGTAAAGTTTCTATGGTTCATGGATCCTCCCTAGAGACACTACCATCTTGTCCAGCTGTGACAGGTCAGAAATCTGACTTGAAGGAACCTGCTAAGGATCAACCACTGAAAAAGCATAACTTGAATAATACATCACTTGAGTCTTTGTCTTTTGGACAGGAAAACCCCTTTCCTCATTCACATACTTTCTCATCTACAGCACTTACCTGTGTAGATGGTTTGCATGTGGAAGATAAACAGAAAGTCAGAGACGGAAATGTAATACCTGATACTCCTCCATCAACTCCTCTAGTACCATCCCAGGCTAGTTCTGAATGGGATATCAAGAAATTAACAAAAAAGCTCAAAGGAGAATTAGCCAAAGAGTTTGCACCTGCTACACCACCTTCTACTCCACACAACTCATCTGTTGGTAGTTTGTCTGAGAATGAACAAAATACTATAGAAAAAGAAGAGTTCATGTTGAAACTCATGCGATCTCTTTCTGAAGAAGTTGAGAGTAGTGAAAATGGAGAGCTCCCTGAAGTGGATGTGAAGTCAGAACACTCAGGGAAGAAGGTTCAGTTTGCAGAAGCATTAGCTACACACATCCTTTCTCTTGCAACTGAAATGGCAGCTTCCCATTTAGATAATAAAATAATTCAAGAACCCAAGGTTAAAAGCCCTTGCTTAAATGTGCAAAGTCAAAGAAGTGTGTCACCTACTTTCTTAAACCCCTCAGATGAAAATTTGAAAACATTGTGCAGTTTTGCAGGTGATCTGGCAGCAGAAGTCATTACAGAAGCTGAGAAAATAGCAAAAGTTCGAAGTTGTATGCTTTTCAAGCAGAAGAAGAACAGATGTTATGCTGATGGTGACCAAGATTATAAAGTAGAAGAGAAGTTGGATATAGAGGCTGTAGTGCACCCAAGAGAAGTGGATCCATTTATTCTTTCATTACCACCAAGTTCTTGTATGTCAGGTCTGACGTATAAGTATCCCAGCTGTGAAAGTGTGACAGACGAATATGCAGGTCACATTATTCAGATACTAAAACAAGAAGGTGGTAATATTGAGTTGATAATGGATCAGTATGCCAATAGACTTGCCTACCGATCTGTTAAATCAGGATTACAGGAAGCAGCTAAGACAACCAAAGTGCAGTGCAATTCAAGAATGTTCCCTGTGCCAAGTTCACAAGTGACAACAAACGAACTGTTAATGTTTTCAAATAAAGAGCACCACCAAGAAGCAGACAAAAAAAGACAAAGTAGAAGAAATGAAGATTACTTTTGTAAAAATCAAACTTGCGAAAGGACCCTGGATCCATGTAGAAATGAGTGCTCTGAACTGTATAGTTTTTCAGCCTCTTTTGTTCACAGCATAACAAAAGATGCTAAAGAAGAGCTGACAGCCTCTCTAGTTGGCCTACCAAAATCCTCAACAGATTCTTGCTTGTTCGAAAAATCCGGATGTGAAAGAGATAAAGAGTGTCATGTTAAGCCAGAATTGCCTAAGTCTCTTCAGCCTTCCTCGCAAAGTCACAGATTTTACCACAGCACTGGCAGTTTAAATGGATATGGTTGTGGAGACAATATTGTTCAAGCTGTAGAACAGTATGCCAAAAAAGTAGTGGATGACACTCTAGAGCTAACTCTAGGATCTACAGTGTTACGAGTGTCTGAGACCACAAAATCAGCAGACAGGGTCACTTATGCAGAAAAGTTGTCACCTCTTACAGGTCAAGCTTGCAGATATTGTGACCTTAAAGAACTCCACAATTGCACTGGAAATTCATCTCAGAACTTTTTCAGACAGGGTTCTCTCGCCAGTAGTAAGCCAGCTTCTAATCCAAAATTTAGCAGCCACTATCAGAAATCTAGGATTTTTCATCTCAATGTCCCTCAGATTCATGTTAATCTTGATAAGAAGGCAGTGCTTGCTGAGAAGATAGTTGCTGAAGCCATTGAAAAAGCTGAGCAAGAGGTGAGCAGTGTCAGCCTGGCAGCCGACAGTGGGATCGGACAGGAGGGTGCCAGCTTTGCTGAAAGCCTTGCCACAGAAATCATGACAGCAGCTGTCACAAATGTTGGGCATGTTGTTAGCAGGTAAGTTTCACATTTCCTTTGGTTGTTAATGATAAATGAAAAAGTTAAATGTGATCCTATATGTCTTAGGTCCTGCTCATAAAGGAATGATTATTTTTAACCCTACATAAACAAAAATTTTCGCTATTGCATTTATGTATTGTTTCACATCCTACACATGACTTTTATATATTTTGGTCCCCTGATCCCTTTTGAGGGAAGGTGTTATCCATTTACAGAGCTGGAAAATGAGAGTTGGAGAAAATAATCACCTTATCCAAGTTCATAGAACTATGAAGTAGGTAAAGTTGAATTAAATAAATAGCTAGAGAATTTTATATAGTAGTCCCCCCTTATTCTCAATTTTGCTTTCCTCAATCTGAAAATATTAAATGGAAAATTCCGGAAATGAACGATTCATAAGTTTTAAGTTGCATGTTCTGAGTAGCATGATGAAATCTCACACCGTCTCGGGATGTGACTGACCCCTTTGTCCAGTTTATCCACACTGCATGTGCTGTTCACCTGTTAGTCACTTAGAAGGTATCTCAGTTATCAGATCCACAAACCTGGTATGTACAGGGCTTGATGCTATCTGCAGTTTCAGACGTCCACTGGGTATCTTAGATCATATCCCCCAGGGATAAGGGGGGACTATCCTATAGTAAATGTAGAATATTACCATATTAATTTACTATTCTGAGACTAAATTTTTGTATACCTTTCTTCATTCACAAGGGTAAGTTTTCTTATAAAGACCATGGTTTAATCAAACTGCTCTGAGGAAGAAAGCGAAAATTCTTTACATACTTACACCATTTCTCTTGATTAGTTCACAATCTAAGGGGACAGTTCTTTCTGGTAGTCCTACAGTGTCCTGTTTTCAGTAGTTATCTCTTGTGCTTAGAGAAACTTTTTTTTTTTTTTTTTTTTGAGATGGAGTCTCACACTTGTTGCCCAGGCTGGAGTGTAGTGGCACAATCTCAGCTCACTGCAACCTTTGCCTCCCAGGTTCAAGCGATTCTTGTGCCTCAGCCTCCCTAGTAGCTGAGATTACAGTCACCTACCACCACGCCCAGCTCATTTTTATATTTTTAGTAGAGACAGGGTTTCACCAAGTTGGCCAGGCTGGTCTCGAACTCCTGACCTCAGGTGATCTGCCCACTTCAGCTTCCCAAAGTGCTGGGATCACAGGCGTGAGCCACTGTACCCAGCCATGCTCAGTGATTCTTTAATAACAACTTAGAGTTTTTCACTTTAAACCTTCTTTGTCCCTGAGAAGATACCAGGACCAACTTGTGTTATTAGTTGATAGGATGATATTTGTAAGTCCTGCTGGAAAGAGAAAATGCTTTAAGTTGAGGTGGAATTTAATTGAGTCACATGATATTCCAGATTTTTGAGTAGCTTCTGTCAAAGCCATGACATGGTCTGCCTCTTTTCTTATCCATCTTAAAATAGGGAGATCCAGCTTGACCAGGATTCTTGAATCCAGTTGCTTCATAGCATCTACTTGAGATGAGAGATGCTGTAGGTTTCTGGTGAATTAGGAGAGGTCTCTATTTGCCCTAATCAGGCAGCCTTCTTTCTACTAGACCAGGGGTTGGCAAACTACAGTCTGTGGGCCAAATGTGGCCTACTGGTGGTTTTTGTATGGATTGCAAGCTACGAACAGATTTCATGTTTTTTTTTTTTAATGGTTGAAAAAAAATCAAATGATATTTTGTGACGTGAAAATTATATGAAATTCAAATTTCAGTATTTATAAATAAAGTTTTATTGGGACACAACCATGCTCATTCAATTACATATTTCTGTGGCTGCCTTTGTGCTATAATGGCAGAGTTGAGTAGTTGGGACAGAGGCTGTATGACCAGCAGTACCTATGTACTTCCTATCTGACCTGTATTAGTTCATTTTCACACTGCTATAAAGATACTCCCTGGGACTGAGTAATTTATAAACAAAGGAGGTTTAATTGACTCACAGTTCTGCATGACTGGGAAAACCTCGGGAGACTTACAGTCATGGCACAAGGCAAAGGGGAAGCAAGTACCTTCTTCACAAGGCAGCAGGAGAGAGAGGGGGGAGCTGCCAGACACTTAAAACCATCAGCTCTCATGAGAATTCCCTCACGGTCATGACAACAGCATGGAAGAGGCTGCCCTCCTGATCCAATCACCTCCCACCAGGTCCCTCCCTGGGGGTTACAATTTGATATGCGATTTGCGTGGGGACACAGAGCCAAACCATATCATGCCCCTTATAGAAAACAGTTGTGAACCTCTGTCCTAGATCCACATTTTCTTGTTCACTACATACCAGTTCCTAGTATGATGATAAACATAATAAATGGTTAATAAATATTCTCATGAATAGGTAATAAGGCCTTTTAACAATTGAAAGAATTTTCCTCTTACAGGTTGCTTCAGGCTGTTTTACTTTTTACTTCTCAGTCCAGTCCTGTCTGCCCTATGGCCCCATCCCCCTTTCCTCCCAGCCTCACGGGAGGAAAAGAGACTGTCCTCTGAAGTTTTTCAGACATCACTCTCAGGGGCTAGCAAATGCCTTTCTCATTGGTTTTCTCAGTAATTTCCACTTTTCCTTCTTAGAGTTGGGTGAGTAGATAGGCCCCTAAAGTTCTTCCTTGTAAGCTAGTGCTGCCCACTTTCAGCTTTTTATTAAGGCTGGAATAATTCTTTTCCTGCTTCTCTTTTTAATAATTGTGCTAGGGTTCTGTAAGTACTGACTAAGGGAAGTTGACTCTAGTGTGTAGAGTTTACTGTTTAACATTTTTTATTTCTAAAGTTAAATTTGTCTTTCAAGCTTGAAAAGAGATTCATTCAGATGGATTATTCTTTAGGGGTATTATTTGGGCTTTTTCACTTGATGTCCCTTTTTTGTTTGATTCATGAACATGACCATAAATATTTCACAAACTATAATGAACAGAGAAGTGGCGTGTGAATGCAAGTGAGAAATTATGTGATAGTACATTTTTATTTATTTTTGTTTGTTGTTTCGTTGTTTGTAGAGATGAGATCTCACTATGTTGCTCAGGCTGATCTTGAACTCCTGAGCTCAAGCAGTCATCCCGCCCTAGCTTCCCAAAGTGCTGAGTTTACAAGCATGAGCCACGTGCCTGGCTGGTAGTGCATTTTTAGCCAACAAAACGATTATATTCTGAGCTATCATTCCGAGCCAGTATAACCTCATGGTCATTAAAAACTCTTCTCTGGATCTCATCCTTTGGGTCATTTCAGCCAGAAACCATGAGAATGTGGCACATATTAGGAACAGTATTCAAAAAAACCAAAGTAGTAATCTATTATGGTTCAGAACTATAATGTGCCTATGCTTGAAACACACAGTATCATTCTGTATCTTACAAAATTAGAATAGCTGAAAAAATGGGGGGCAATTCAGGGGCTATTCTGGGGATAGCACTGTGATACAGAAGTAAGTAAAATAGGCAAAAATCTGCATTCTCTTGGCGCTTATGTTATAGTGGAATAAGACAATAGGTAAGTAAAATATATAGTATGACACATAGTGATAAGTGCTTTGGGGGAAAAATAAAGCAAGGTAGGGAGTTAGGGATTAGAGAGTGCCGGTGGTGACAGTGGCGGTGGTCGTTAGGGCTGGTTTACAGTTTTGAATAGGTAGCAGGGGAAGCAATACTGGCAAAGTAATATTTGAGCCAAAAACCAAAGGCGAAGTGAGAATAAGTCATGTGGGAGTCACAGAGAACAGATTTCCAGGCATAGGGGTGGGACTGTGCATGTTTGGGAAACAACAGAGAGGCTTGTGTTGCTGAAGTGGGAGGAGTGGACCAGGGAGAACAGTAGGAGTTCAGATGGATGTTATAAGAGGGGACAGGCAGTATGTTTTAAGGATTTGGGCTCTTATTTGGATTGGTGGGAAGCCATTGGAAGGTTTTGATCAGAAGACTGACATTTTTTCTTTTTATGAAAACATCACTTTGGACTACTTTGTTGAACATAAAATGGGGCATAAAGTGGGGCAATTAAAATAGTTGAGCAGTGAATGGACTTTCTTGTGGTGATGGAATAAAAGTATAAATGCCTCTTATTGAGAAAAATGAAAGGGGTCATATATGATCTGTGCTCAAAATCTTGGAGAGATTTGATTAGTTTGAATACAGGTTTGATTGACAATACTAGAATTTCTTGAACTACTTTTTTGTTCTTAAAGCCAGAAAGAGACTCCTTTAATATAAATAAAAGTACTGTTTTACAAAGTAGATGATAAACTTAGGAACTTGTACTCCCCGTAGTATCTCAGTTGAAAAATGAACTGCTTTAAATAGAATTTAGAGAAATAATGCCCTAGGGATAGATCCACTGGAGATTAACTAAGTTATGGCTGTTGGTGGGTACCTCAGTTATCTCTGAAATTAATACTCTATCCTACAGTCTCTTTATTGGCAGACTCAAATAAAGGATTACACGAGCCACTGGTCTGACTCTGAATACCATTTCTTGTTTTTATCATCTTTATCATCAAATTGATAGTCTTGTAAGTTCAGTATCTGGGATGCTTTCAATTTGATTTTTTTTTCTTTTTTTCTTCTTTTTAGTTCAAAAGAAATAGAAGACTTTCAGTCAGCCGAGTCTGTCGGTAGCCAGCAGATGAACCTCAGTATTGGTGATGACAGCACTGGTAGCTGGTCTAATTTAAGTTTTGAAGATGAACACCAAGATGAAAGCAGCAGTTTTCATCATCTCAGTGAAAGGTAACTACACTTTTGCATATAATTGTGTAATTTCGGTCCTCAGATCTCAGAAGTGAGCTATAAATTTACATTATTATTTTAAAATTCTAAATCTGAAAATATGCTATTACTTTCAACATGTATTTTATTATTCACAACGTATTTCTAATTGTTTTTAATACTTATTTAATACAGTAAGTAGCCCAGCTAATTTTATTTGGGTGTGCCAATAGTTGATTTGAAAAATATTGCATACATTTAATTTATTCCTTTTAAGCTTCTCCCGAACTTTTTATGAACTTCTGAGGAAAATATTTTTTTTCACTTTAAAAAGCGTCCTTTTTTTTCTTTAAAGAACAAGAAAAAAGTTATCTGTAAAAGGCATCAAAATAACCCTATAATTTTCCTGATATTAGTTGAAATAGGATCTTTTTGGTGGGGTGAGAGTCTTTACTTGTCCTGCTGTTAGGAACAAAATGACCTGGAACACTTATACTTGAATGATTGAAAATACATAAGTCAAAGCCATTATAAAAATATGATTTTGTGTAGCACAAGGCACTTATCTCATATATAACTTTTCTTAGTTAACTTTGTTCATAACAGTGGTGTTTGAAATATTTTGTTAATTATGAGACAGTTGTTTCTTATAGTCTTAACCTCTACCTAAAGGCCTTTCTGACCTATAAAATTCTATAACTCTTTATCCACATTAACTGATAACTAGAAATAATAGATACCATTTGTAGCGGAATCGTGAGGGAGGAAAGGGTTTTCAGCATACTGCTAGTTTCAGACATGTGTGGAAAGGACCTGTGAACCATCAGTTGAACTTAGCCCCTGGAAATGGCAAACAAGGTGTGGGAGGCAAGGCGACTCTTGGAAGAGGGAATGAGGTAGCATAAGGAAAGGAAATGGCTTTTCACCTGATAGAACACTTAATCTCGGAGAGTTTTGTTTGATGCTTGGATTAACCTGGAAATATTAATATTTTGTAAAATATATTTCATAGTTTATTATGGTACTATATATACCATCAATATTTTTTAAAATCTAGGTCCAAAAAGACAGTGTTTAAAACTAGTAGAAACAAATGGGGGCAATGTCACAAATCACGATTTGGCCATTTTCCATAACTTTATCTAGAAAAGGATACTAACAGTTTCTTCTCTCATTTTGAGAAACACAGGCTTCTAGGATTTCAGTGGGGTTGACAGTGTTGACAGGAAATCCTGGCGTTAAAATGGGAGACTGAGGTGTGGGTAGAGGCTAGCAGCATTAAGAGGACTTGTAGTCAGTTGAACAACTCTGTGCTGAATGTTATCTAATTTGATGAGAAAAAAGGAATCATCTTACCAGTTTCTGTCCTTAGTTCTGTCCTCCTTAGCATTATTTATTAATGATGTGGAATACCCATTTGTGGGTGATTCAACACAGGCTGAAAAAAGAATCCCATGAACAGAACAAAGGTTAAAAAGACCAAATCAGGCTGAGGTTAAAATAATTATGTTTAACATGGATAAATGCATTTAAGCTCAGAAAATTAATGATTAATATTTGAACGTAAGTGGGGAGCAAACCTGGCTTAATGGCATTTTGTCAGAAAAAGACCTGTGTTTCCATTGACCACCGTTGTAACGTGACTTAATGTAATGCTGCATGGCATTAAGGTTCTGGCACAGAGAAAAAGATCGCGGGGCTCATCCAGGATTGGTGGTATGCTTGTTGCATATACAGTTTCCACGGTCTCACCTCCAGAGATGAAGATTTATGAAGTCAGTGGAGGGTCCTGAGAATCTGCATGCTTGATAAGCAGGTACTGGACCACTGCAGTACTTATACCACTGGCTGGAGTACTCCTGTGCTAGACATAGGAAATATGAAAAGGCATAAAAGAAAATGATGGAAGCAGGGTAGTGTTTCAAGAGTGAAGCAGGAAAACTCTTAAGAAATTTTTTTAATGTTGGGTTAATACAGGGTGATCATACTTCCCACTTAGGATAGTTTGGCTTACTTCTGCTGTTCTGTTGTAATTATTAATGGTGAGGCCTTTCATTTAAAAAAGTGTCCTGGTTAGATGAAAAATGTATACAGTCATCTAGTTAGAAGTGGCTTTTTATGAAGAATGACTTCAAATACCCATTTGGAGGCACAAAGAGGGAGGGGGATAAGATTAGAGAGAATTTGAATTTTTGGTCTTTACTTCGTTTAGCTGTTTTTGTTTTAATATTTATGTAATAGGTAGGTGATGGATTTTTATTATTAAGTGGAAGAATCGTTATGATGGGTAAAATTTTATATATTTTTTTCTTTGCTGTAATCTTTCTATTAATAGAAATAGAGTGTTTGAGATGACTAATTTTCTTTTTCTCCTTGGCTCACAGCTGTCTGTCCATTCTTTATTTGTATATTTTCTTATTTTTAGTTTATCTGACAATGAACTACATGGGTTTGAACAGTTTTATAATAGAGCTATATTTGTTTGAACATATGTTAAAAAGACCCTGCTCAGTTTTAATTTTTACTCTCTAATACATTATGATTTGTGACAGTTTGATCATATTAGAGTGAATATAACTATGCAAATTATTTGAGATTGCTTGGAAGTTTTTTAGAACTTGAAGTAATCACCTTTTTTTGGTAACCATATCAGCATTTACTGATGTACGTGAAATGATTTTATGTTTACTTTTTTAGAACCAAAATTTTGGTTTGTATAAATATTACTTTTTATAATTGCCTAGCCTAATGTTGGGAAAAATAGCTGCTTATCACTGCCAACTAATGTGCTTACTAATGTTTAATAATTAGAAATGATTAGAATTTTTAAATTGCATGCTGAGGGTTTTAATCTGAAAATTTGAATTTAATTTTATTTCTGAACATGGTTGCTTTTTTTAAAAATTGCTTTGCTGCAGTTTTAGAAAATAGTTGCTTTCTTCTTCAGTGATTAGGTAGTATAAGACGTTATCTGTATGTGGTATTTGTGACTGACCAACTAGACAAGTGTAATGCTTGATTTAGTCTTGACTATTCTAGCTGTATTCTGAAGAAAATGTTTGTTATTTGCCACCTACTTGGAGGTGAATTATACATACTGAATTATACATAATATATGAAACGAAGATCATTGACATAATAGTATTTTAAAATCTGAAACATGTTTTGCCCAAATAGTTAGAAAAGGTCTGTTTGGGACTATGTCTTAGAGCCTTCCGTCTCATCTCCCCCGACATCCCCTCACCCAAACCTGTCACTGCTTTGCACTATCTAAAGACCTGAGAGAATGTTAACCTGTTTTTTTTTTAACTTTATCCAAATTGAAAGGTATTGGCATTTCACAAATTAGAGTTCAAGATTGGTCTTAAGACATCAACTTTCCTGTGAAACTTATTAATTCATGCGTTCATTTGCTGTCCTAAAAGCCATTCTGTTAATCTGTAAAATACAAGTTTAGATAATTTTCATGATCTATTGAGAAGAAAGAAAAAACTCCCAAATCTCTGAACTTGTCAGGCCCCGTTTAGAGTAGCAGTGATGGTCTCTCTCCACTCTGGATGTTCCCCTTCATTGTGACAGCTTCAGAACATCTGCAGTTATCAAGGACAGAAGCTGTTCCAAGGAAAACAAAGGTCTTTTCTACTATTCATTTTCTAGTTCAGCTCTGTTCTTTTCTTCCTCTGGCAGTAATGGTAACAGCAGTAGCTGGAGCAGTCTTGGTTTAGAAGGAGATTTGTATGAGGACAATTTATCCTTTCCAACATCAGACAGGTTGGTCCAGTCTAGAAACTTAAAAACTGATGAGTCTGTCACCACTAATGCATGATGTCATTTTCTTCAAAGAATGTGGGTTACAATGCCAGTATATATCAACCTGCTTTTCTCCTGTATTTTGACATGATTCTGCTTGATGAATTCACATCTAATGAAAAAATTCAACTATGCTAAGATATGACTGACATCTAATTGCAAAATGTGTCACTGTTATGCATGTGTTGCTCTGCTTGCTATTTTTCATTCTACCAATTATTTCATTCAAAAGAGCTTGCTTCCTACAGGATTTCTGTTGGGTTTTTTTGTTTTTTTTTTGTATGTGATTTTATTTTATGTATAAGAAAAGTATAAGTAAAAAGTGTTTTTACTGTATTAAAAATATATAAATTGCATCAGCTAAACCATTAACAAATTATTCCTGGCATTTTGTGAGATTCAAATGCTACATTAAATTAGTAGACTATTTCAACTGTAAATGATTTTAAATTGAATAATATTATGAAATTACATGGCACTTATATATATCATGGTAAGGTAGGATTTCTTGGTTTTAATAACTTTAGGGATCATTTGCAATTCAGATTTTAACATGAAATGATGTGAGAAGCAAAGCTTCCTTTTTTAATTGTCATTTCTCCCCTTTCTAAATGTCACATGTCATATTGTAACATTCATTACCACATTTTTAAGAATTTGTTTTTATACCATTATTAATTAAAGTTTTTTTTGTAACTACTTCTGCTATTTTATTCATAAGTGATGGACCAGATGATAAAGATGAAGAGCATGAGGATGAAGTAGAAGGTAATTTGATTTGTTTTTCAAAGTGTTGGCATGTCTTTTGTGTAAGGTTTCCTAGAAGAGTCTTTATGCATTTTTGTCAGATAGGTTCTAGGTTATTTGTGTAAAACATTATAAATCAGGGTATTTTTGAACTAATTTTGTTTGTCCACTTTTAGATCCTTCGCTGAGTAGTTTTATTTGATTGCTACACTAATGAAATTGTCATTGGTGTAAAGAAATACTGGGCAGGCACGGTGGCTCACGCCTATATTCCCAGCATTTTGGATGGCTGAGGTGGGTGGATTGCTTGAGGCCAGGAGTTCAAGACCGGCCTGGCCAACATGGTGAAACCCCATCTCTACTGAAAATACAAAAATTAGCCGGGCATGGTGGTGGGTGCCTGTCGTCCCAGCTATTCGAGAGGCTGAGGCACAGGATTCGCTTGAACCTGGGAGGCAGAGGTTCCAGTGAACTGAGGTCATGCCACTGCACTCCAGCCTGGGTGACAGAGCCAGAGACTCTGACTCAAAAAAAAAAAAAAAAAGAAAAGAAAAAAGAAAGGAATACTTCATGAGAATTATTTGATTATTTGAGATAAATTAATCTCTCCACATAATTATTTTCAAAATATAAAAGCTAAAATTCTTACTCATAAGATAATTTATTTTAACTATGGCATATTATTTTCCTTCCAAACTGGTAACTTGTAGAACTAGGGTTTCATGTCAAACTTAGGTGAGTCAGCAATATTTTTACTTACCTTGTTTAAAAGATATTTCTAAGTTAATTCTTCTTCCCTCCCCCAGTTCCAGTGCTTCACTCACACATATACATATTTGAAGAAAATATTCAGATCTTTCCTTAATGAACATAGTTCCAAATATGTCAGTACTAGATATCATTGGCCACAGTTTGGGATCATGGTTTGTAATCCTTAATTCATATGTTAAAATATCTGAGTTTATTCATCTGAGTGAATTTAGAAACTTTACTTTGAAGCTGAGTTTTCATTATATTCAGATGGTTGTTGAATTTTTTTCTAAAAGTCTAATTTTTTCTTAATTTTGAAAATACCAATAATGTCTTCTATAAAGTGGCACTTATAAAAGTATTTGTACTCTTTGAGATACTTGTTTTTGAACTAGTGATGTTTTAAAAATTGCTTCTCTAGAAGCAGGCAAACAGAAAATAGCTAAAAAATTTCTCGAAATTTACTTTATGACACCTGAATTTTAAATAAGTTTAACACCTTGTTTAGGGAAGTCACATCCCAATTTTTAAGCTGCAATCTTTAGACTTAAGATTATTATTTTTTTAGTTTTAATGTCTCTGTAAGTCGACATTCTTTATATAGGACTTCTAGAAGTCAGTTTTTCTCATCAGATACAAAGTCGAGATGGGGCAATATTTTTAGTGTTATTGATATATGATATTGATATTCCCTCCTGCAATATTTGTTTCATTCTTGTTCAATAAAAAAGTGTTGACTTTGTTTATAAAAGTTCTATGCCTTTTCTCAAGTAACACCTGTGAACAGTTATTCTAAAGGCTACACATGGTATAAATGCATGTGGTAAGTATTCTCTAATGAACTAGCAATTGCTTAACTAGCTTTACTGAAGAATGATTAAGAAAAAAAATACAAGTTAATATAAATATGAAATTTATTTTGAAAAAGATTACTTTTGGCACTAACCAGGCTGTTAAGGATTTCTTTTGTGAGTAGGTAGAAACAGGAGATTAATTATTTGTTGATATGTCATTACTGAGCTTTTGAGATTATAGGTATTTCTCATTATATAGAAAGTTACAGCCAACTTTAAATTTGTTAGAGATTGGTAAATTAGGAGATAGATTGGTCTGGATTTATAGAAAGACTCAAAATTATGGAAATCCTAAGGCAACAAACTTCTTTTAAAAAAAAAAAATTTGTAGTTGCAGGATGTCAGTCCCTCCCCTTTTCATTAATTGTTAGTGGCTTCTCTAAAGAGAGAGCTGTTTGAAGGTTCTTGTAGGCCAGGCAACCAGGAGTCCTGAACTGAGAAAACACCAGCAGTGCAGAGAAGCAGTGGGGTGATTTAGCTTCCAGCCCCCTGAACTCCGCAGGATTGCAAAAAGGCCCAGAGACCATGCCTTGTACCGTGGTGTACCAAACCTATTTTTGATTGAGAGTGTTTGAGAGAGGGGAGGGAAAAGACAATACATTTATTTTTAGAGAGTAATGTGGACCAAATCTTTTAAATTAAAAATTAGGGACCAACACAAATCCTGAAAGTAATTAATAGTGGTCTAGAATGGCCTGCAAACTGTAGCAGAGAATCAGAGACATCTGTCGACAGTCTTTCCATTACTGGTACATATTGGCATGATGTCTGCCAGCATGCCCTGGTGCTCACCTCTTGTGGTGTGTGTTAAGGGGTGGAGGGGTCCTGGTCTCAGCACTCCGTATTGCTCAGGTGTCATTAAGCAGCAGGAATGTTAAATGCATGATATTGGCCCACAAGTCATTATTTCCATCAACAGAGATGGATCTCTCTTTGTGATGAAAACAAAAGTACCATAAAAAAAGAAAATAAATTAGAGATAATCTTGATACTTGGAGTATACCAGAAAATTCCCTGATCTGGCTTTGGGTGTAAGTGGTTGCATATGGCATTTCCTCCCAGTTTTGTCTGAAGAATGAGTGATTAAGAGCATGGAGCTAGACTGCCTGTGTAAATGTCCTGACTCAACCACTTCCCCACTGGAGGACTCTGGGGCTCTCATTGCCTCAGATCTCTCACCTGTAGGATGGATACGATAATAGTTTCTACGTCATACAGTGGTTGTGAGGATTAAAGGAGTTTGTACATGTAAAGAGCTTAGAACAATACTTAGGATGGAATATGTGCTGCACAAATGTTGCTGCTCTTCTTTATTTGAGATTTTTGTTTTTTGATACAGTCTTGCTCCGTTGCCCAGGCTGGAGTGCAGTGGTACAATTTCGGATCACTGCAACCCCTGCCTCCTGGGTTCCAGTGATTCTTGTGCCACAGCCTCCTGAGTACCAGGGACTACAGGCATGTGCCACCATACCTGGCTGGATTTTGTATATTTAGTAGTGATGGGGTTTCACCATGTTGGGCAGGCTGGTCTTGAACTCTTGGCCTCAAGTGATCTGCCCACCTCGGCCTTCCAGAGTGCTGGGATTATAGGCCTGAGCCACCATGCCCAGCCTCATTTTAATTTTTATTGTGATGATAGCTTTATAGTTCTATTTTCTCTGTAACCCATTGGTCATAATTTATATCAAATAATGGTATTTATAGAACTTGAATTCATTACGTTAAAATGGTGTTTTACATTTTTGCAATCAATAAATGATCAAAGTTGTTCCTTTGTTTTACATTATTTTGCCCTTTAAAAGTTTTAGTTGAGGTTATGGTGTGGTTAGGCGGCGCGGCCTGTAGTCCCAGCTACTCGGGAGGCTGAGGCAGGAGAATGGCCTGAACCCAGGAGGTGGAGCTTGCAGTGAGCTGAGATCCGGCCACTGCACTCCAGCCTGGGCAACAGAGCAAGACTCCGGTCTCAAAAAAAAAAAAAAAAAAAGAAAAAGATGGATGTTTTTTCACCATTCATTAGAATCCTAAGAAAGGGAAAATATTTGTATCTACTTGACAACCAGAGTATTGAGAGTTAAATTGATGAGTTTTACTTTATATTGTTTAAATTTAAATATTAGGTTTGGGGCAAGATGGAAAGACACTGCTAATTACGAATATTGACATGGAGCCATGCACAGTAGACCCCCAGCTAAGGATTATTCTTCAATGGCTCATTGCCTCTGAGGCTGAAGTTGCAGAACTTTATTTTCATGACTCTGCAAATAAGGAGTTTATGCTAGTAAGTACCTACCTTATAGAGGGTTAGTATACATTTAACAGTAGATGATGTTCTTGTCATGTGGTTGGTCTAACAAGATGCCTGGTGATGGCAGAGTGGTTAAATGCTTAGGCTGTAGTATCCAACAGTTTGGGTTCAGACATCAGCTCTGCCTCTTTCTAGCAGGGTAACCAGAGGCAGGTTCACCAGTCTGTCTCATTGCCTCTAACTGCGCTATGCAAATGAATATAGAATCTACCTTACAGGGGTTTATGAGGATTAAATATAATGTTTAAAAAATGCTTAGTCTAATGCCTGGCATAACACTAAGCTCTCAAAGGTAGATGCTATTAATAAGCATTGTGTGTGTTCCTATGAAAAAGTTGAATTATTCTCTGTATTTAATTGATTCATAATTGTACCTAATATATCTTTCTCTGATAATCCAGTTTCATTCATATGAGAAGCTGTCATTATTAAAAGTCGATAAAAGTTTAAACAAGATGCTTACTATGTGCCAAATACCTTATTAGTCAAGATTTTCAGTTTACAGTCTTAAGGTTTTTGTTGCATAATTTTCTTTATTGGAAGTTTCCTTTTGGTGTGGTAGAAATATTCTAATTGTGGTGATGGTTGCATTCAACTTGGAGAACATACTAAAAACCATTGACTAAGACACTTTGGGTGAATTGTATGTTATGTGAGTTTTATCTCAATAAAGCTGTTTTTAAAAAGGTTAAGCATATATATGTTAACACAAATTAGTTTTTCAGAATTTAACTTACAGATCTTTCAAAACTTAAGAACTTTTACAGAACTTAGTAGAAAAAGAAGTGAACGAAGGCATGTCATGAGTGGGACAACAGGATTTATTTAAACCTGTATTTATGTATGTATGTATGTATGTTGAAACATTAACATTTTTTAACTTAGAAAGCCATGTCATCATTAAGGCTAGAGTGTGTATTCCAGAAAAATAACATACTATATGTTGTGGAAGGAAAATCCACATCCGTTTATTGAGCTTGACGTTGTCTTTATTATTTTATGTTCTAATTGAGGGTGTGGCAGTTGTATTTAGTTAGGTGAAGAATTTCCTGTAGAAACTCAGTCTCTGCACTCCCACGCAGACTATTTGCTTGGTGAGGTTTGTGGAGCTTTGTCTCCAGCGATCCCAAAGTGTCATTCTCTGGAGGAGATGTGTTTATATAGGGGAAGAAGGGAAAATGTTTAATTTGGGTAAAGGGGTAGTGGTTTAAAGGGGAAGACCTTGTTATAACTAGGAAACTATTTAATTGTAAACAGCAGGATTCTTAGTTTCAGCTAAAAATAAAAGCTTGGTTATAAAATTGTTTTTGGTTAATGTTTGACACATCTTTCTTTCGTTCTTAGCTTTCAAAACAATTACAAGAGAAAGGATGGAAAGTGGGAGACCTCCTGCAGGCTGTGCTTCAGTACTATGAAGTGATGGAAAAAGCTTCCAGTGAGGAGAGATGCAAGTCGCTGTTTGATTGGCTCTTGGAAAATGCATAGAGCAAACCCCAAACCAGTATATTTTAGTATTTGTTTGGGGAGGGGAACAAGCCAATAAAGATGTTTAGGATAAAATTTGAATAGTGAATATTAACATTGTCAGTCAGTTGGGAGGCAAGTAAATATAGCTTTCTAAGCGCTTTGGGTTATCACTCAGTGTATATAGTTCATACTTTTGTAATCTCTGTCAAAATACTAGCTTCATTTATTCTTCTATACATGTGTGTAGTGTGTGAAGACCCTAAAAACATGTATTTGAAGGAAGGTCTAACCATGGGGTTTTCAGGGGCATTGTCTGACCACATTCTTTTTGTATCCAAATAGTGCTGCTAGAAACTGCACTGAAGTGGCTGAGGATAGGTTCCAGTGATAGAGTTATCATTTTGCTCCTTTGCAAACAAATGGCATCTAATTAATAACTAGTCTGACATCAGAAAATAAAATTGAGGCTGATTTTTTTTAATTTCTAGTAGATTTTTGGTCTTTCCTGTTTTTAAAAATCAGTTTCATTTTCATATTTCATAGTTCAGCTGTTGGTAGCTTTTTGATTTCCCCAAACTATTTAATTTCTTAGCAAAAACATTAGTATTTTAGGTTTCTATAAACACTAAGTGATAGTTTGACCCATCCTTTCATCAGATGACATTATTTGCCAATGCTGCCAGTCATTCTGGCATGAAAGTGGTGTGTGTGTGTGTGTGTGTGTGTGTGTGTGTGTGTGTGTGTGTGTGTGTAAAGGAGTACTTTAACCTTGCCAGTTTGTTCCCTCTTTTATTTTACTGTTTTCTTTTTAGAAACCCACTGTTAAGATTTAAAAAGGTGCTTTAAAATAAAACGCCTATAAAGATTGTGCAGTAAGAATTTTTATTCCTCTTTTTGACGATTTTGGGTTCCCAACTTATCTTACAAGTGAAAAATTATAAAACATGTTGAAATTTTAAAAATTAATATTAATATGGAAATGCATTTAGAGAAGCCAATAGTTTTTATTGTTGGATTTTTGAAAAAAAAACTCTCTACCAAGAATATGGTTGAAAAATTGGGATCCCCCCACCCCTCACCATATCTACACCGTCTTGCCAAGCTCTCTGACATCATCTTTCTGGGCTCTACATTTCCTACTAGTTTGTGTCCAGAAACTGCAAGTTGACATGAATAGAGGACCAAGGTTGTGTTTTGCTTTTGTCTGTCTCTCCCCTCCTCCCGCTCTCTGCCCTCTCCCCCACTCTCTGCCCTCTCCCCCACTCTCTGCCCTCTCCCCCACTCTCTGCCCTCTCCCCCAACTCTCACCTCCCCCACTCCCCCTACTCTCTCACCTCCCCACCACCACTCTCTCTCACCTCCCGCTGTGTCCTGTGTATGTGTGGATGTGTGTGTATTTGGGTGTGTAAATGTTGGTTCTTCCACTACTGGATTTTGTAATCTAGGATAAATCACTTTTTGTGGGGGCTTTGGTTTTGCTCCATTACATTTTCATTTTTTTCTGAGCATTGACTGACCTGAAAGCTGCACAAAATGTAGAAGACATAGCACCTGCCAAGGAATAGGGAATAAGGGCACTTACATTAATGTGAATTAGTAATTGTGGTATAGAAATGTTTTATAGTGAAAGATTCAAATTTGCTTTTTAAGAAAAATGCCAAAAGCTATTTAAATAACTTGAGGTAACATTGTAGGTTTTGATTTTTCTCAATTTAAGATACAGAAATACAGCAAGCCTTAATATAAAGTTTCCTGAAGTTTTTTCAAGTATTTTTTAAGGTGGAGAAATGCAGGAATTGTATAATCAGAATTGTTTCTGCCTTTAGCTTTTCAGAACTTGAGATGTGGCTGCACTGGACTGGGTTTGTAAATGTTAGGACTAGGAATGTTTGCTCTTGTTAATTATGAATTAATTGGTTATTAAGTTTAGAATGCATTTTTACAAGTATGTATCAAATTGTGTTTAGTAACTTGAGTGTATGCACAGGTTTGATCAACAGCAAAATAGAGTTCTGAATTTCTTTCAAAGTGACAATACATTATTTTGTAAAACTTTGTGTTTGAAAATGTTTACTTCTGTTTATGGTGTAATCATTCTGAGGTGAGACTTTTCTTATTCTTATTTCCTTTGCATTTTGCTAGAGCTGTGCTGAGTTCCGCATTTGCTTATTTAACCACTACAAAATGACAGACCAGTTATTAGGTATTAGCATGTGTGGTAATAATAATAGTGGAACTTCACACTTACATCAATTCAGTGCAGGGGCATAGAGTAAAATATTAAATATTGGCAGATGTGAAAAGAAGTGTGAGTTAAAAATATTAAACATTGGCAAGTGCGAAAAGAAGTGTCAAACTTCCTCATATGGAGAAAAGAATTTTGAGTTTAGAGCAGTATCTTTTAATTAAGTATAGTCTAAACTTAACTTTCTTTAAAGGCACTTTGTGGTTTTTCCAAAGATATTCTAGATCTATTTGGTTGCTCTATAGTCGAACAGCTCTTTTGAAGACAACTCTCTTATTTTATTACAAATTGGCTTGATGTATTTCTACTGTAACATTGTAATATTGCTGTGCTGTACATTTTGGCCCTTATGAAATATATCTTTTTCAGAACCGTTAAAGTTTTGATGTACATTGAGCTGAATTCTCCGTTTACCAGTTTCATAACCTTCAAATGATATGTGGAAAAAGTGAATGAGACCTCTGATAGGGGGTTTTCAGAAGCTTGTTCACACCAAAATGTGACAGTTCTTTCATGTTTTCCTAAACCAAGTTAAAATTACGTGTATATTTTGGTGTTAAGGTTGATATTTAAAATATTTCTGATTTATACAAAAGGAATATTTCCTTTATAAATCACAGAAGAAAATAATATCTGTTGGATGTTTGATATAATTTAATGGCATTATAAAACCTTTAAGAGGATTCATGGTGAATATATGTGATAACATCTTTATACTTTGAAAAATGTTCCACTTCCCCTTCAGATACTTGTTGTAAGTTAATTCAAATCTTAATACTTTAATTTTGCTCCAACAAGGGCTTGATGTTGCTGGTAAGAGAATTTACTTATAAATGCACTATGTATAAAGTGAAAGATAGTTTACTTATCTGACTTTGATATTAGAAGGCTGACATTAGTGCACATTCCCCAAATGCAGAGTTTAACCTTGATTCTTCATTTAAATGTCTACTTAATTATTTAGCTGATATTCTTCCACAATTACTATATTCAATTTCCCATCAGTATATCACTTTAAATTTTATGTTTTTCTAAGGAAACTTTCCACAGAATTTTAAACAACTGATGCATCCATACTCAGGGTGTAGGGAGAATACTTGGCATTTAAATACCCTGTCCACCTGTCACCAGCACAAGAGAATTAGAGCTTCAGTGAGAATTTAGAAAAATTATACTAAAGTGAGATGAATTTTTTCTCATTTTCAGCAAAACTCCTCTAAGCATTTACTCATTTACTGTATTCCTGCTCTGAAGATGTGGATACAGAATTAGTCACTCTTGTCACTTTATTTATTTATTGGTTTTTTTTTTAACCATCTGTGTACATTCCTTTCATAGGGTAGAGTTGTAGTTCTACAGGTTCTTATTTTGTTTTTGTTGTAATGTTTGAATACTATTTAATATCCGGTTTTAATATTGCTGGATTTGCTACCTTTGGTTACTTGTGCAGTGTTAAAAGTAATCCACTTTCTTGTTTAATATACCAGATACATAGCAAAAGCAGCTTGGAATAATTATAGCTGTTTATTTGGCTGTGCTCAGTTACTACATTAAGATCTTGTACTGTGTAACAGTAACTCTTTTTTGCTCCTCAGTAATTTAATATGTTCACTTAACAAAACATGAACTTTGAGATGCACTAAAATTTTGTTTTAGCAGTGGCTCAAAAAATTTCAGAAATTACTTTTGTAATTATTTGCAATTAATTGTTCTTTTATCTTACAATTGTTTAAGCCTGTGATCTTTCTTCTCCCAACTAAGAGTTCTTCAATAAATTTAAGAAATACCTGGTCTTGGTTTTCATTCTATAATATCTCATTAACTGCTCTGTAATGAGTGGGACCGCTATGACAGAAGACCACACAAGAGGACCGAAGTGCTAGATCATGGTTTTGAGAACAAGAGAAGTTAGAAATATTTTCAACTGGACACTAGATTCTGCCTACTTATAGATGCCCTGAATGCGGACACAGTGACTTAAAAGTTGGTTGCCCAACCTGCTTTGGATTTAATGTAAAATAGAATATTATGGTTGCCTTGAATATGAAAATGGCTATGAAATTCTTCTAGCCTGGTTTGAACACTCTTTCCATAGTAAGACCATACCTCTGTTAAACCGTGTACACAGGATACTTAAAAGTTAGCTGCCGTTTTTTTTTTTTACTAATGGATTTGACTTTGTCTTAAGAATTTTTTTTTCCTTTTAAATAGAATATTTTTAGAGCACTTTTAGGCACACAGCAAAATTGAGCAGAAAATATAGAGCTCCCATATACCTTCTTTCCCCAGCCTCCTTCAGTGTCAGCACCCCGCAACAGTGGGACATTTGTTACAATCTATGGACCAACGTTGACACACACACCATTATCATCCAGAGTCCATAGTTGACATTACAGTTCACTGTTACGCATTTGTGGGTTTGGACAAATGCATAATTATAGGTACCTAACACTGTAATATCATACAAATAGTTTTCCTGTGCCCTATCTTAATGTAATTTAAGCCCAGAAATTAGGAAATGGTTTTAAAATGTTTTTCACAAATGTTTTAAAATGCTAGGAAATAATAGCAAACAATAAGAATGTTTGGGTGTAAGTGCACCCAGTTACTAAGAAAACCAAAAGTGCTGACAAGAAGGAAGCAAGATTCCGTAGATTATAGTGCCAAAAAGGAAGTATGGCTCAAAAGGAATGGGAAATGTGGCAAAGGACATTTGACAGTTTTACGCAGAGGGATCATATGTGATTCGTATCTTAGCTAGGACAGAGGAAGGTGAGGGACAGGGCTTGAATTACCTCAGATTTGTAAAGTGTGAGATGGAGAGGTCATTTATCTAAGGATAAATGTACTGTTGTTCCTATAATACAAAAAGAGTAAAAATCAGTGTTTTTGCATCGAGTTTACAGCAAGAACAAAAAAGTATATTTTGCACTTCTTTATCCTTTGTAATTTTATAATCACCTCTCTAACTTTTGGTCAAGGGGGGTAATATTTTAGACTGGAGAGAGTGAAAAACAGTTTCAAGAGGGGGTTGAAGCCCCAGTTTTGACTTTTAACTCATCCCTCTGCACCCCTACCCCCTTTTAAACAGACACCTAAATGAATTTGTTAAAGCAAGGGATTAAACCCAGACTTCTGTGTACTGAATTCTGCCCATCTGTATGTTTTGGTCTGGTGTAGAATCTTTTAAAAATAGTTACCAAACTTAAAAATAAGATTTAACATTTAAAT